CAGCTAAAGGTGACATAGATACTTTATTATGGTATATTATTTAAATATATGCCTGAGAAACACATAATATTGGTACTTTAAATAAAATGAGGAATTGTCCAAAACAAAGAATCAGTCTTTTTCAAGTTGTTTTGCTCAAACGAGTCTAAAAAATGGATTAAACATGGGACCTTGCACCATCAGTGACATACAAACATGCACACGTAGACTGTGACGAACTGAATCTAGAAATGCTCCAACATAAACCCTGTGRAAACGTTCGGCTAACTGTAGCATCAAATGGTGCTCCGTCTGCAGCAGAGCGGCTGATGACTACCACCATCTGGATCAGCACTGAAGAGGACGACAGGTACAGGACTGTGTGCACAGAAATGGGCAAAACGGAAGCAGAAGGTGGTTCTTAAAGAGACAGAGGCCAATTTCAAGGTGTTTAGAAGAGGAAGTGATGAGAATATAAGTTTATTTTCTATTTAAACATAAAAACAGCATTTTAATAACAGCTAAAGTTGACATAGATACTTTATTGTGATATAGTATTTAAATGTATGCCTGAGAAACACATAATATTGGCCCTTTAAAAGATGTCAGCAGTGGAAGACTTGTCCATCCAGCCTCACATGTTGAAACCAGAGTTTGACCCAGAGGACAATGAAGACCACCAAATTGTAGTTTGTAAGTCTAGACTTTATAAGGCATTTCCGTCACAAAAAACTGCAAAGTAATAGTTCAAGAGACACTCCTAGAGACTCAAAGTACACAACAGAATGCTTTTAAAAAGTAGATATATTTATGGAAGCTGCTTACTTTTAAAGTCTGTACTTACCTTCAAAATAAAGACCATCAGTTTTTCTACACATCTCCTAAATATGCAGGCCCAGAATTCTGGTCAGATTTAGTCTCTTAAATCTCTTTAGCACCATCTACAGCCTGAGCAAAGTACAAGCAGAAAAAGAGTACAGAAAAAAAAAGTAAAGGCATTCAAAACAAAGAGCAATAATACAATATTAATTAGCACATTTGATGTCCATCAGGTGCATTTTTTTATTTGCAGCACTACAGTACATAAAGTGCTATACAAGCGTGTTCTGTGTTTTTGGTTTACTTTTAATAGATGTTACATTCTCACCTCATCATTATTGTGCAAACATTACATTAAAGATATTCTGATGACAAAATACTAAAATTGCACTTTCTGTTTGTAAATTGAACAAATTTAACATCACAACTCCCTCAATCCTTCACTTGGACTAAGTAAAGTCACTAGAGGTCACTGTGTAATTCTCAGAAGCGTGCTTAGTCAACAGCTCATTCTTGCCTTGAGCAGTTTGAAGTGGGGGGTAAGGTTTCACATCGGAGTGACGGGGGGCTCCAACCAAGCAACAGTAGACAAACAGCTTCTAGTGTATGGTTTAAATAGAAACCACTTTGTGTTTTGAGCTTTCATTCGACCCTGTTATGTGTTGAAAATACGAGGATGAAGGTTAGTCTTTGGAGCAACATCTTCAGTTAAAAAAAAACACGTTACCCAACATAGAGTAGAACCTGTGGAATTTACAGGAAATGCAACATTTAATAATTTGCATGACGAATAGGAGTCTTTTTATAGAAGCTAGCACTGATGAGTTTATTAAATCTGCTGCTATAACCTTGATAACAGCTTTAAAGCGTCACATTGTGTCACTTACATCATGCAGATACAGTCTGAAAGGGGTGGTGGGGGGGCAAAATAAACGTCTCTGTTCAGATCCCAGCAATAGGAAATAACTGTAATTCCAGACAGCTTTGTTGTAAATGTACCCTTGCTATCCTGTAGCCATTGTGTGTTTGTGTTAACCACTGTGTGAGTCACCGTGTGTTCGACTGTGTGTGTGTGTTGGTGTGTCAAATTACATCCAAGCCACTTTAAGACAGTTCTAAAGATAGTGACCAGGCAGGAGTCTGTTCATCAGCTCTTACAGCGCAGCAAACACTCTTACAACCCAGGGGAGAACAGAAAGTCAATTAGTAAAGTAAATGTATCATGTGATACTAAGTCAAGATTTTTCACATTTCAAGAATAAAAACTTAATGGAAGCTAAATGAGGGTCAATTTCATATAATTTTCAAGCTTATAAAACAGTTTTTTTAATCAAATATGTCATAACGGTGTAGAAAAATAGCTAAAGTATGTGTCTTGTCTGTGGGGTCATGGACATTTTTCTTTCTCTAAAGTTGCGGCCTGACCAAAAAGGTTTGAGAACCATGGGCCAAGTGGAAGACTTGTGTCCTTTTCTTCATTCCTGTACTGTGACAAAACTTCCTTTACAAAATGACCAAACTCCCTTTGAAACTAGGGGTGCAACAAGACAGCAATCCACATTGATGTCGATTAAATAATTCAATTATATCAAGGCAAAACGAAAACATCGATCCATATCGTCAGCAGATGGCTGACTTGTAAATTTTATTGAATCAAAATTGTATCGTGATAGACTTTGTGATAGGGTTGGGCTAAATTGACAATAAAATAAAATAAAATTTAATTTAGCCATAACAATTAACGTGACAATTACTGAATGACAATTAGACTTGCATTGTGGCCATGGTTCACCTCTTCTTGCTTTCCTCTCTGGTTTATGTTGGTGTTTCAGGTGATTAACCAAGTTCACAGGTTTATGGTTGTTCTGCGCTGCCTTCCTTCCTCCATTAGTGTTGCTCATAAGAACATATCATCATCACATGACCCTATTACAAAAAAGTGAAAAGTGGCAAATTTGAATTGTTTCGTTTTTCTATGCATGCAATTTAGCCCAACCCTACTTTGTGATATTCAGAAACATGGTATTATCATCAAAACAAATTGATATATTGTGTTGCAATAAAGCTGATTTACACCCTTATCTGATAACAGCTGGACTCTGTAGGTCTCCGATTGGTCCCGTCACGCTGCCTTGGGTGTCACTGGCTCCTCTGCACCCCTCCCTATTCCATATGTTTTGTTCCCCCCACCCCCTCCACCCTCCTTAGCTGCTCCTCTTTCGCAGAGTAGTTTTTTGTGCGTATGCTCTTGCGTTTCTCTGTATAAAACACAGGATCAAAGCTCTTTTTTTAACTCATCCTTCCTATGTGTGTGTGTATTCTAAACAGCAAAGGTAGCGCATGTTGTTGCGAGGAACCCTGGACATTCGTCCCCCCATGTTTGTCACGTGTGTGTGTGTAAACATATTTTAAACCTGATTCTGGTTCTGATTTGATACTATACTGTATTTACACATTTCACATTCTCATAAAAAAATCCATCATAAGAAAAGCTTATGGGAAGTATTTCACAAAAAAAGAATAGGCTGCATTTTATAATTATCATACAATGATTACAGGGTAAACAAGCTGTTTTATGATGCTTTTTGATGAACCATTGAAACTCTTGGTTACATCAGACTGGAGTCAGTGCTGTTTATGTTAATTTGAGCCACTCAGGGCGGCAGCAACAGCAGGGCTTTGCTGACATTCAGAGAAACACAAGGGTAAAGTCTTTTTGACGTGCCTTCAATGGGACAGCTAACAGCTTCTCAGAAAACATGACAGCAGATGTGTCAAAATGCATCCAAATCACCATCACCAGAAGACTGGCTCAGGCGCACATGAAGTAGAACCGCTTATTTTTAGTGAAATAAACGCCACTTCTCCTTTGCTGTCGGTCTTCCTCCTTTTTTCTTCTTCTCCTCTCCGCCTTCAATGAGAAATATGATTATTGCTGTGCCTTGTTAATGAGGAAGAGTGAGGAAGGAGAGGAGGAAACAAGGAGAGGTGGGGAGGAAGGGAAGGACGAAGGGAGGGGAGAGTGGGGTTTAGTGGATGTAGCTGTGGGCCGGGGGGTGAGCTACCTAACCCGGGCTGCTCCGCTGAAACATCCATGGGTGGCTGTGTCGGGAGCCACCACGACTCTTCGGGCAGCTTAAACGAGAACTCGGACGGCACTGGAGGTAACTTGAAGGGGCTTGACGGGGCGTCTTTGAGCTGTTGAAGGGCTTTCCACTTCTGCATGTTCAGGCTGGAGCTCTTCCTTTTTTTTTTTTTTTTTTTATACCCGAGCCAGACTGAGCCGGAGACACAGAGCAGCCCTGCCGACTTTATGCTTCAACAGCGGGGTTTGAAAGCCAGAAAAGCCTGTTGGTCTGCTCACTACAAACTAGATGAAATTCAGACAGCGCTGCGCTGCTTCGCCTTTGTTCTTTAACAGAGCTAGCCGGCTAAAACCGAGCTAGTTAGCTTGCTAGCTGTGTAGAAAATGGGTCATCAGTGGCATGCAGGAAGAGGGTCTCAGCAGAGATCCAGTGATTTAATTTGTCCAACTCTGCCTGACTTCAAGTTTCTACATACAGTATATTATTTTGCATTTGCATCCACTGTAAAGGTCTTCTGTCTTCACTGGATGTGTTGTGGAAACGTTGTCGTGCAGAGTGGAGGAAGTTTGCAGCAGGTTTAATGATAAAGGAAGTGTGTGGTTTTTATTTGTGAGTTATGGCTACATTGTGTAAACATGGTTATAGCAGAACAGTAAAAAAAAACACAAAAAAGACATCCAGCAGAATTGTTTTGCTGTGTTTTTGACTAAACAAATCAATGTTGTTGTAGATCACAAGACTTGAGTCATTTAATCATTAACAGGCTGTGGCATTTCCTTCAATTTATTATTTTTAATTATTTTAATTAATCTAAAGTTTTGTAGGCAGCTTTACAGTGTAGTTTCTTGGTGTCTGGTCTAAGGAGGGGATCCACTGTTATTTTAATTACAGATTGGGATCTGGACAAGATGTCAAGATAAAGCTTGACTTCCTCTGTCTTCTTCTTTACATGTACATTTGTCTTGGCAACTCCCACACTTTGTTTTTTCTGGCTGACTGGACGTGACATTTAACATTAACATTAAAAATGTCCAGCGTTCAGCACCAAATGGTTGTTCCTTTTCGAAGCAGATGCAACCAAGCAGCTGTTGCATGACACATTCACTCATTACAGCAGAGACGAGCCAATCAGACCATATGCACATTTTTGCACTAATGAAGCAGATATCATCATCAGTTTTACGTTTTATTAGTGTGGCGATCATGTGATGAAAAATAAAATGGTTCCACATACTGTACTTGGCCTACATAAGTCCTAGTGGGGGTGTTGGGATTTACTGAAAGGCAGCCAATTAGACTAGTGCTTAAAAATATATTAATGAAATGCTGACAGACACGTCCTGGAAAGTGTAACCTATCTGATTCACAAGTACTCAGGCACTTATTGCTGGGAAATGATTTTGAGTACAAGGAGTGTCAAAAAAATTTTTTACTGAGTTTTAATCATTTTAATGTCATTGTTTTGCTGCAAATCTGACATCAACCTGCTTTTTGTGTTGTAGTTTTTTTCTATTTATTGTACTCTATATGTTATAAATAGGGGTGCAACAATACATGTACCCGTATCGAACCGTATCGAACAGTGCTTTAGGTTCAATACTGTTTCGAACAATACAGATTTTTAAAATTTATTTTATCAACTTGTCTTCTGAAGATGCTCTGTGTTGAAGGATCAGTGGATCTGTGTTCGACTACTCCACCTAGGCTGCATTTTTGAGCGCAGATCCACTGAGAAACTTGCTGTTTCAGCAAGATTTAATTTAAAAACTGTTTTTGAGGTTAAACAAATGTTCATAATTCATTTAAATATATTACAAGTTAAAACGGCATGGAAATTTCTCTTTTTTGTACTGAAAAAATATTGAACCATGAGACTAAAGCAGTGGTTCCCAAACTTTTTATCTTCTGACCCATAAAATATCCATGGCAAAAACTTGTGACCCCAAATATTACTGGTCTGCATACAAGAACTTTGTTAATAACCCTAAAAACACAGGCTTTTTGACAATCTAAACAGCTTGTACATAAATATAAATACTTATTTATACTGATTTTTGTTTTTTGTAATAGTTATAGGGAAAATATTACATCAGTAATTATTTTATTACCCTTCAAATTGATTTCTGGTGATTATTCAAGATGCTTCATGACTCATAATTGGGTCCCAAGCCCAACTTTGGGAACCAAAGTGCCGTGGTTCCCAAACTTTTCAGCTTTTGACCCACAAAATAACAGTAGCAGAGACCTGAGCCCCAGCTATTTTTGGAGGATAAACATTTGTATCAGGTCAACCAATCATGGGCATAGTAACAATATTTTTATACTACATTTATCCATTTTAAATATACTAACCTCACTCCTTTGTAACAACTAAGGAAAAAACATAATTAATTCTGAAAATCTTTTCAGGACCCCATCATGATGGTTCGGGACCCCACTTTGGGTCCCGACCCCAACTTTGGGAAACACTGGACTAAAGTATCRAACCGAATTGTGAATTTTCTGTATYGTTGCAGCCCTAGTTATAAACCAACAAGAGCTCCTCCCTCTTTAAAAGGATAGTTTCTTCCATATATAAATTAATTTGAATGTTTATGCATAAATGAATGCAGGACATTTGTGATGATGAGGAGTTTAGAACCTGGATCATCTGTTGAAAGGGTAAACTATAGCAGAAGGGGCACAAATGAAGAAAAATTGGGRGAAATTAGTTAAATTAGTCAGATTCTGTCAATGCCTTCCAGCTGTTGATACAGATTTATGAAAACCAATCAAAGTCAATAAAACAATGCAAATAGGCACTTTTATTAAGAAAGTTRCACATTAGTTTGGACCCTCCAGATTTTTATTTTATTTTTATTTTTTGTTAATGTTTTGTCTGTTAGAGTTGTGGTTTGTGGATAACTAAACATGAAGAGGGTCACACACAGAGGTCTTATTTACTATAAACAGTCAGCTGGAGTTTGGTGACATCAGTTTGTGTTATGTGATCAGCAGCAGGTGGAAACTCAACACCTTCGTCCTCCTTCCTCTTCCTCCCTCCACCTCGTCTTTGTGTTGGATTGTGTGGAACAACCGTACACACAGTCCTGTACCTGTCGTCCTCTTCAGTGCTGATCCAGATGGTGGTATTCATTAGCCGCTCTGCTGCAGACGGAGCACCATTTGATGCTACAGTTAGCTGAACGTTTCCACAGGGTTTATGTTGGAGCATTTCTAGATTCAGTTCATCACAGTCTACGTGTGCATGTTTGTGTGTCACTGATGGTGCAAGGTCCCATGTTTAATCCATTTTTTTTAGACTCGTTTGAGCAAAACAACTTGAAAAAGACTGATTCTTTGTTTTGGACAATTCCTCATTTTATTTAAAGGACCAATATTATGTGTTTCTCAGGCATACATTTAAATACAATACCACAATAAAGTATCGATGTCACCTTTAGTTGTTATTAAAATGCTGTTTTTATGTTTAAATAGAAAATAAACTTATCTTCTCATCAGTTCCTCTTCTAAACGCCTTGAAATTGGCCTCTTGTCTCTTTAAGAACCACCTTCCGCTTCTGTCTCACCCATTTTGGTGCAGGGGGGGGAGGGGGGCTGACATGATGCAGTTTACTTGGCATCTGAAAATGCATTTCCTCAAAGGTATTTTTAATCTGAAAAGAGCTTCACTGAGTGAGAACTAATGTTGAGAGCTCAGCAGACAGTTAGGTTTCACTTTCACCGAGAGCCTGCAGGAGTCATGGGCGGGGTGTGTGGGGAGTGGGGGAGTTGGTGCTCTGCCATGAGGAAGTTCAGCTTAAAGACACATCCCAGGGGCTTTCCTGGTACCAAAAGGCATTTTTTGTCCCCACCTGTCGTTTTGCTCCTCAGCATGGCTTCCTAAAAACGCTGCAGGATTTCTCAAACATGCATGAATGAGTCAAAGCAAGGCTTTGGGCATGTTTTTTTTTATGAGAGTATAACATTATAACATGATATAAAACTCAAAAAAGTTGATTTTTACATGATATTGCTCCTTTAATATTGTCCTCTAATAATGTTTGTTTTATTTGTCTTCCATTGTTATTTCCTTTTATGTTTYTAATTTCACACTTTCCTCTCCTACCCTTTCTTTTAATTTACTCCAACCTCATTCATTCTGGTAATATTTATTATCTTCCCCTCTTGGTTTCTCTAAATTTACCATTCTGCTTTCCTCATCTAATCCCCTCTCTCTTATCCCCTACCTTCAGTGGCTCTAGGGCGTAACCAGCCCCTAAAGAGAGAGCGGCCTAAATGGAAAAGTGACTACCCGATGACTGAAGGCCAGCTGCGCAGCAAAAGAGATGAATTCTGGGATACGGCGCCAGCGTTCGAGGGCCGGAAGGAGATCTGGGATGCGCTGCGAGCTGCGGCCAGTGCCTTTGAGAGTAATGACCACCTACTGGCCCAGGCCATCCTGGACGGGGCCAGCATCACACTGCCACATGGTAAGACACATTACTGTTGTTACATGCCACGGAGACTTTACTGTTTGTGTTTTGCTCTGTCAGAGCAAAAATACAGAGATGCCTGATCGCTGGRAGCCACTGTTCATGAGGTTGTGCTTTTTTTCCCTGTTCAACTATCAGTTTGTTAATAGTATAAAAGAAATGAAACTGTGAGATTTCTCTGTCAGGTCACAATATTAATTTCTTCCAGACTCCAGCCTTTTCCACTAGTTGGAGCTGCAAGCATTAGGTTCCATATTAGAATTGAGAACCTAAACAAAGTAGTGGAGCGTTTTAGTTTCAAGTGTCATCTAATGATGAAAGTGCCACAAACAGGAAGYAATCTTAGCAACATATCGTTGTTAATTTCTGCTTGGGTTAGCTGCTTCTGTGCTGCTGCTTTTTCCATGTGACTATTGACTTTTTGTCACAGATGCACTCGATGATTAACTCCTGTATCATTAAGTCTGCAGCTTAGAGGAGTTTAAGAACCTCTTAATGAATYTAATTGACCACTTTCCAGAGCTGGAAGGACAGCACGGTATGTACCGCTGAAGAAATCAGTAAATAATAAATGAAAAGGGCTGTGTTCGCCACTGAAAGTAGAACTTAACAAAGGAAACAATACTGTATATTTAGTAAAGATAGTTGATATTTAAAAGTGTACATCAGGACAGTGGCCAGCAGCTCCTGCCAGTACGCATGGACATGAATGTCATTATAAAAACATAGTATTTACATTTCCCTGCTGTTCTGTACCAAATATGATTGACAGTAAGTTTTCTAATATGAACACTACACAACTACAGCGGGTAAAATAAGTATTGAACACATCAACATTTTTCTCAGTAAATATATTACTAGAGGTGCTAATG